CCGAAGGAAAAAAAATCAACACGGAGACTGAAATGACCTTTAGTTTCAAGGGAGTGTAGTTCTCTTTTTGAGCGTGATGAAATCAGAGGAGGCGGTTGGACTCTAAATTTGATTCTGGGCCAACAGAAGTCTCCTAGAATTTGGGGAAGTGTCCTGTGACTCGTTTTTCCTCAAGTACAGATGAAACATGACAGCCCTTCCCAGTTTTCCCCTGCTGTCCCAAGCCGGGCAGGGCCCCAAAGGAGAAGAAAGGACTCTTCCTCCAACACATGCTCAGGAACTGTGGGGAAGTCCCATCTGCCCCCCACCCCCCACCTCGCTCTGCCAGCCATAAATTGACACAGAAAGCAGGTTCATGGACCAGAAACCTTGTCCTGACAGTCCTTCAGGCTTTTCTGCCCTAAACAACTGGATGACATGAGAGAGAGATGCCCTAGAGGACTTAGGGAAAGAAAGTCACTTTGCAACATTTTTCTGCACCAGTTATTTGCTTGCTTGTTCCTGTTCCCCACTGGACTGGGGCCCTTCTAGCAGGTGGAGCCATGCTTTATTCATAGGGATTCAGTTCATAAATATATTTATCCCACGTTTACTGAACTCTGACTATGCACCAGCCACAAAAGAGAAAAGGGTCTTGTTCTCATACAGCTGATGCTCTAGTGGTGAAGGCAAGCAGTGAACCGGGAAGCCAATAAATGAGCGAACAAGACAGATTCTCACAGGAGTGCATGCTGCAAAGGAAACCGCCTGAGCGCATTGGTAGGGAATAAGTGGGTGCACAAGGTGACCGGGGCCACATTCCGTCTTTGAGGACTTGATATTTGCACTGAGACACCCAAGATAAGAAGGTGCAACTCTCACAGAAGGCACAGGACAGAGAGTTCCGGATTGAAGAGATGTCATGTGCAAAGACTCTTAGAGAACAAATTTGTCCATTTGTAAGACCAAAAAGTCTCCACCAGGCATAAAGCTTAGTGAGCAAGAGTCATGGGCTGATCGCGGAAGTCCTATGAGAGAGAGAGAGCAAAGCACTTGAGATTACCTTTAAGTATAGTAGGGAGGAACTAAATGCCAAATTTTGGGTATATTTTCTTAAAGAGAAACTTTGGCCAGTTTTTCTTTACTGGAGGCTGAACCGGGAATGCTTTACCACTGGGCTCCATCCCCAACCCATTTTCATTTTTATTATTTATTTTGACACAGGATCTCCCTAAGTTGCTGAGGCTGGCCTTGAACTTACAATCCTCCTGCCTCAGCCTCCAGAGTCACTGTATTGCAAGCATCCACTACCACACCTGACAACTAACACCAGATTTTCTAAGAGGTATATAATCCTTCTCCCTTCTTCCTTCTAAATAGTAGTAACACTTGATTTAAAGACAGAAGACAAGGCCCAGGCTATTAGAAAAACTAAAAAGTCAGAAGATACAGTTTGGAGCTACATAGAATATGTTCTTCTAGGACACTGAGAACTACCCAGGAAAAAAACACAATTATCCTTGGGGTAGGTGGGACTTGAGACATTATCATAGAAATCTTGAGGGGCAGGCAACTTTAAGTGCCTCCAGATATGGGAGGGGAGAAATGGCGGGATAAGTACATGCTGATGTAAATGCTAGAAACCAAGTTTGCAAATGACCAGACAGTGAATTATAGGTATTTGAGAATTATAATAAAAGTGCGTCTAAAAGATGTCCTAAAACTAAGTGCAATAAATACAAGGATACCTGATGTATCCCCCTAAAGTGTTGGCACCAAATTCTTCTAAACCAATTATCCAGAGGCCACCCCTTGGAGAGTCCCTCTTTCCTGTCTCTGATTGTTAAGGGAGAGATGACAGCTAACAGACATTTTTGCTGAACTGATTTCTAAATACTCCTTACTCCACTGTGTGTCCCACACCCCTCCTGCCCAAATCACCTAGATGTCTGGAGATGATTTGGAAGGACTTGGACTTGTTAATTAACCTAAACAGTCACATTCATCTGCAAGGTGCATTATTGTTAATTAAAACCGCGATTCTCCTTGTGCCCAGACGGCGGGCTGCGGTTGTCAGAATAATTAGATAGCATACGATGGTTTTCATGCAAATCCCTGGCAATTAGAGTTGGCGATGAATTGGGTTTAAAATCCCAGTGAAGTTCTCAATCAGAATTCCTCTGGGAGTGGCTGCAGGAAGACAGTGGTGGTGGGGATGGAGGATAGGGAAATAAAGGTGGATAAAAAGGTGTGAGGACCAGGCATTCGTTTCCTGGATCCTCCGGGAGCAGCCTCAGCCTGAAATACATGAATTATGAGCCTCGACATGATTTTTAAACTTCCCTCAAGAAACAAGTCCCTTTCCTTAATGCAAATTGACCCTCCCCAGGGTTTTGTGTACTCCCCAGAGCTAGCCTCCATGGCTCTCATCTTTCTGAGAGGATTTTTTTGCTTAGCCAGGAGGCCCCATAACTCATACACCGCTAAAGTCCCTGCCAACCCTCAGATTAAATTCTTAAGGGTTCTAAGGAAACAGGATTTGTATTCCTGAAGAGTCGCAGAAGAGATGCCAGGTTCAGGCCAATTTTAGAGTGGTCGGTGGCATGCAGTGAGTTAAATGGACAGGGGCAGCCGGTCCCCTGGAAAGCTTTAAAGAAATGGCTGAGGTCAGAGTTGGATGTAAGAAAGAACCATCCAGAAGGATAGATAGATAATGGCAGGGAAAGGGCAGCCTCTGAAGGGACCAGAGCAAGCCAGCAGGGGTGGGAATGAGGGGCAGATAACCATGGGGGACGCCAGTCTCCAACCCACTCTGACCTCTTATCAGTGACCGGCTTCTGCTTCTGCCTTTCTTTGGTGAGGGATGCGATAGCTGACAAGCTACTCCCCAAGAGTCTGGGCTCTCTCTCTACCTGGACAAGTGAGGAGGGACTTGTGTCTGTAGGCACTGGTGGGGCTGGGGGTGGGGGGGTGGTCTGAAACCAAGCCTTCTTCACATCAGGTTAAGGCTGGAAACTTCTGGAAATCCAAAACAGCCTCTCCTTCCCCTCAACTAGGTCGGCCTTTCCAAAAATCCGGTCCTTGGTCAGGGAGGAGGGCAACATCTGGCAGGACTGAGAGAGTGGTCAGAGGTTACAGGGGGGATTTTGGAAGGAGGCTAAAAAGGGAACAGGAGAAAACCAAACATAACCAGGAGAGATTTACCCACGGTGGTGAATATACCTGAGCATAATCTCGGTTTGTAAACTAGTTCCTTTTTCTTCATTTCTCTCTCTCTCTCTCTTGTCTTTCTGTTTCAGAATGTCTCCCGCGTCTCCAGCGGTCCCCAGATCCCGCCTCTCAATTTGGGCTGCACCAATCCGGAGCTAAACCTGGCGGTTGCTAAGAAACCAGAGGTGGGAGATTGAGAGGCCTTGTCACAGCACCCACCCAGGACAATTCCCTGGGCCTTCTGGACCCTCCTGCCCGACATGTTCTCCGTCCTCTCTGCTGCCCCTCCCATACCTCCTACTTATCCCCAGACCCAGAGTCAAGCAGAAATGCTTCAGGGAACAACTAGGCAGGGCCTGTTCTGGGGAAAAAATGGAAAGATGGTAACTAGGCTCAGACAGACGGGAGGGCCCTGCTCAGGTGTTCCCAGCCTTCAGTTGGGTTGTGGGGGGAGCTCTTTGTGGCTTCTCTGGGAAGAGGTGAATTTGTTGGCAATAGAGGTTGTGCCCCCATGTGAAGAGGGACTTGCTCCCCTCCCAATCGTCACCTAAACTTGGCTGGATACAGTGTGAGCAGAAGCTTCCGAGGTCATATTTAAACAGCAAGAGGATCAGGGGCCTATCTGGGAAAGAGAGGGCTTTGTACTTTGGGGTATTTATTTTGTGGGAAGTAAGAGGAAAGGTTTGTGTGGGAAAGAAACGTTAATTCAGTAACTGGGGATTGAAAGGGAAATTCTAGGGGATTCCATATAGATGAATCAGATTAGGGCCTCCCCGTTTAAGTTTCTCCATTCTTCATGACTTCTAGATTTTTCCTCCCTCTACATCGGGGGGTGGGGGGGGACACTGGGTAATTCATTTGTTTAAGGAGTAAATCCTGCAATCTGCTTCCGTTCCCTGAGAATGGGGATGGTCACAGAAGTAAGTGGGGAGAGGGACCCTGGAGAAGTCTGTGCATGCACACAGGGACGTAGGGTTCAGATACCGGCCCACCGGCAAGCACATGTAAAGAAATGTGTTATTGCATACGGGCATCATCGAAAATGCATTTAGATTCTAACAGACTGAGACACAGACATGTACACCACACACACACACACACACACACACACACACACAGAGGAATCAAGAGTAAACCTCACCCTGGACTGAGAATCATCTCTGAGGATACTTCTCCCTCCTTCCCCACCTGCCCTGATCTCTAAACAAAGCCAGAGAGGAGATAAAAGACAGAGGAGGAGTCTACACATGGTGAACAGGGAAGAGGAAATAGAGGAAATATACCTCTGGTTTTATTGTTGTTCTTCTCTCTCTCCAGTTTCTATTTTTTTTTTTTTTGGACCCTTTTCCCACTGAGCTACATCCCCAGTCCTTTTTAGTTTTTTTGTTCATTTGTTTGTTGAGACAGGATCTCACTAAGTTGCAGACGCTGGCCTCAAACTGTGATCCTCCTGCCTCAGCCTCCCTAGTAGATGGGATTGCAGGCATGGGCCACCGCTCCTAGCTTTTCCACTTTTTCTTCCTATCCCCTTTGCTCTCTGCACGAGCTTCTTTTCTTTGTTTACCTATTAAGCATGTCTGCTCCCATCGTGCTCCTGTTTCTCCTCTCTTCCCCCTTGAGAAGGCAGGAGCCTCACACCTCAAGAAGACATGTGTGTGTCCTGAGGATGTTCAGACCTCATTCCCTTTCTCCCCAGGCCGGCTCGCGAAACAGATGCTGCCAGGAAAATCTGGCAGGAAATGTCCTGCTCTCTCTCCCTTCTCCGTCCTCTCCTCTTCATCCCCAGACAAAATCAGAAACTACTCACTTCATAAAAGCCGTGTAAACTTTAATTCAGGCTGACAGGTGGGAAGGGAGGGAGGATTTGCCTTCAAAAGTGTCCAGATGAGAAGACCGTCTTGCAGGAAGGGGCAGGGAGGGCAAGGAGGCGTGGGTGGCCTTGTGGCAGAACAGGGCCACCAGCAGGGGAGACACGGCACAGTGCAGTATGGCCAGGGCTTCTGCCAGGTGCAGGGCCAGGTCCAGGATCTGCTGAGCCAGACACGTTGGCAGCAGCAAGACCTTGGACCTCACCAGGGTGTCGAATCCCAGAGCTACCCCGTGAGGCCACCAGAAAACGAACCAGACCCACAGGACACTGATCCAGGGACATGGCCCCCTGTACAACACCTTCTGCAGCCCCTTGGCTCCCAACAAACCCAGGGGCAGCAAGACAAAGATGCCAAAGCAGACTGCAGCGTGTGTGGACTGCAAAGTCCCCAGGCCCCTGCTGGACGCCAGGGTGCACAGGCCATAGGACGTGTCCGTGGCCAGGGTGATTGGCAGCCCTAATACGGCAGCCGCTCCCCAGAGCCCCACAGAGAGGCCGAGAGTGAGGCCCCAGGTGTGGCCTGTCCCCAGGTTAGGGTCCAGGCAGGCGTGGTACCCTATCAGCAGAGCCTGGGCGAAGGCTGAGCTGTACCAGACCCAGTAGCCCAGGCGGCACAGGGTAGGGTTGTGGGCGCTGTTTAGCCCTGGGGCCAGAATGGGCACCGCCATGCTGAAGAGGGCGCTTCCCACAGCCAGCTGGGCCAGGATCGGCCAACTGGGGCAGAGCTGCCAGTGGAAGAGAGATCTGCAAAGTGCCAAGAGGACAGCGCCACTAGCCACAATGCCCAGGATGCTGGCCAGGATGAAGAAGGGCAGCGAGGAGTCATCGAGCAGGTTACAGGAGTGGCAGGGGGCGACAGCGTCCGGGATGTAGATGTCCTCATAGGATTCCTCACCGTAGGAATAATTCCAAGCATAGCTTTCAAAAAACAACTGACTTCTGTTCTCGGCGAGTGAGGATTCCACCTGGAGGGTAACACACAGCAGAGGGGGCCATCAGAGCATCCGGGAACCCCACCCAGAGCCTCCTGGCACCTCGGGAACTTGGGAAGGGAGGTGGAGAAGGAGAGCCGAGGGAGGCTGAGTAGCCCGAGCAGGGACAGGGTGTGGAACAGCCAGGGAAGGGGTAGGACCCGAGGAACAGAAGGCAGAGGGCAGGGTCATCCAGGACCTGGATGGAACTGGCTGAGAAATGAAGGGAAAGGGAAAAGATGTTCAGGGGAGACTGGGTAAGGAGGAGAGAAGGAAGCAGATTGTTAAGAGGAGATAGAGCGAGGAGGGGGATAAGAGACAGGAGAAAAGGAAGGAGCTCGGGGCTCACCCAGGGCCATGGGGCCAAGAGGCGGGCAGTGGTGGAGGGGCTCTCCCACTCACCCGGGGCAGGCAGTTCCCCATCGCACTGTGCGCTCAGGGCAGGCCGAGAGAAGGGCTGGGACACTCTGTCTGCAGCTGTGGTTCCAAGATAAGTGCTGAGGCCTAATGAAGGCCCTCGGGCTCTGGGCAGGGCCACGGGGGCAGGGGCAGCGCTCAGGAAGCCTTACCCCCACGCCCACTGCCTGCCTGAGCCCGAGGTCCACATGGGAGGGCCTGGCCCCGGGCTTCCTGTTTTGAGGCTGGGTCTGGCAGGTCAAGACAGTCTCAGGAAAACACCACGGCCAGGACCAGAAAGGGGGCATTTTCCCGAAGATGGAAAGGGAGAAACCTGGGGGCTTTCCAGCAAGTGGAGACTCTTCAAGCACAAGGAAGGAAGAAAGGAGACGGCCAGGGGCGGCTTGGGGGGCAGAGACAAGAGAAGAGCTGGGAAGCTGGAGAGCCATGGCAGCAGATGACCTCAGAGCTGCCCGGCCCCTTGGACGGAGTCCAAGGAGAGAGTTCCAAAGCCGCGGGTGTGTGGGAAGGTGTGTTCATGGTGCTTGGGGTTGGATCTGTCCAGCCTCGGGTGGGGGTATGCATTTAGGTGGGGGGCTCTTTGTGTGTATTAGGTAGAACAATTTACCTCTGTGTGTGTGTGTGTGAGAGAGAGAGAGAGAGAGAGAGAGAGAGAGAGAGAGAGAGAGAGGTAGCCATGTGCCCCACATCTGAGTGTGTGTTAGGTGCTGGCGGTGTCTGGGGAGTGTGAATGGCTATCTGAGGTGTGGTGTGCTGGTGTGAGAGGGAAGGAGGACTGAAGGAGCTGCCAAGGCCGAATCATGACCCTCCTCTGGGGACTGACGGAGCATTTGCTTCACCACCTATGGGCTCAGTGAATGTCTCTTCCACACCAAGCGGAGCGCTTGGTCTGCCATGTTCAAGTAAGGCTCTTGGGGACAATGAGACACCATATTTTTTACCCCATGGGGTAACTTCTATTCATGTTTCTGTTGGGGACATAAGGGTTCTGGGGTTGCTTCATTGGCCTGACATCTCAGCAATAAGTAAGGTTTCTTCTGGGGGACAGCGGGGAGTGGAACTGCTAGTTCTCTGGATGGCAGAAACCAAGGGCATCTTCCCTGCAGGCAGATGCTCCTGAGCCCATGGCTCTTCTCCTTGTTGGGCCCTCCTTCGGCTGCTTTCCCAGGATCTCTGCTATTTCGTCACCCCCTTTCTGCATTTTATTTCTTCAGTGTGGGCTTTGTAGCCTGCATTTGGGGAGGCATGGGTCATAGAACGTCCAAGTCAGAACAGTGAGACAGGAGCAGGACAGGGGACACTGGGATTCATCTTTTCAAGAAAGCATGGAATGTTTTAACTCCAGTTCTGTCCAGGACCTTTATCTCAGTCACATAGAGGGGTACCTGGGGGCAAAACACCTCAGACCTTGTAGAAATGCCTCCATGATCTCCCAGGATACAGGGTCTCAGTTGAACAGGAGGAGGGCTGGAAAGCTAAGTTTGGCCATGATCGGGTCACTCTCCTTCCTGGACAGTGTTGAGGGTGCCTCCAAGGGCCAGGCAGAGGACTGGGGGAACAGTCAGATGTCCCACCCCAAACTCTCCCTGGAAAGGGAGGACCCAGCAAAAGGGGGTGAAGACACTCGTCTCCCTTGTTTCCAGACATAGAGGCTCTCGAGAGAACATGGCAAGGACACGGCAGCCCCTTGAGATGGCAGGTGCAAGGTGCAAGGGATTCCGGAACAGCCCTTGGCTACTCGCAGCCCTGCAGGGTGACAGCCGCAGAAAGGAGGCAGCCGGACGACACGGGTAATCCAGATATATTGAGGGTGATCCCTCTGAGATTAGCACAGGAGAGTTAGAAAGATTATAAAGATACACGATCCCCTCCCTGCTCCCTGCCCCCCTCCCCCCCATGGACAGACACACACAGCACAACAGCCCCGCTCCCCCCGCCCCCCGTACAAATATGGCTTCTGTGTTATATGGACAGAGTGGTTCAGCTCAAAGAGGAAAAATCATTTTTTCCCAAAAGCGGGTGCCGGGAGACAGGAAGCCCAAGAGACCTGGGGCCCCAGGCTCCCTTGCTGCTGAAAGAGGAGGGGGCCCTGGCTTAGGTGAGGGGGGAGGCTGCCTGCTGTGCCCAGGGCCCTAACCAGGGGCTGGAAGATTCACAAAGGTATTACCTGAACTGAAAGAGTGGGTCGACCTGCTGGAATGCAGATGTCCCATTTTGCACGCCCATTGTCAAAGCAGGGAGGACATGCTGGAGAGGGGGAGGGGAATGGCCAAGAGCATCCGGGGTCTGAGGGGGGGGGGGCAGGCCTGGCAGCACAAGGAGGGTGAGCAGCCTCATCTCCACAGCAGCCAGCTTGGCCACAGGAGGAAAACCGAAAACCCAAAGCAGGGGTGGGGACCCAGACCTATGGGTATCCACAGCTGGGAATCCAGGGACAGTGCCAAGGAGAGGCCTGTGGGGTGCATAGCAAAGGCTGTGACACTGACTCCATGGCTTGGAGGTGGGATGCTGAGGGAGGGGCTGGATGCTCTGTGTTTCAGGGAGAGATGAGATGAACAGCTGGGCAAAAACACATCCTGGGACTGTTTTCTCTGAAACAGATGGGCATTGGGGGGGGGTAGCATGGAAAAGACCCGGATGGAGCAACATCCCAGGTGAGGTACAAACCCTGACCAGGACTCCTCCACTCCCAAAGCCCTCCTCTCCAAGCTCCACGCCCCGTCCACCTGCCCAGGACCCCGGGTCCTTGGCCCTCCTCCTCCATCCCTCTCTGTTTCTCCTGCACACAGACACACACGCACATACAGCACATACACACCCACACACATTTACACACAGTTACACACACACACATGCGCACAGAGTTCACATTATTCCCTTAGTTTGGGCAGGAAACAGCTCAGTGCAGTGAAGCTCCTTTTAGTATTTTTGTTGTTATGTCTGCCTGGCTGCTGAGGGAGGAAGGACCAAGGGCTGGTATAGGGGACAGGAAGGGGCACAGGGTGGCACAAGATGGAGGCGGAGTTGCTGAGCAATGCCATGAGAGGAGCGGTTGCCGTGCAACAGTCCAGGGTGGTAGGTAAGAGTGAGGGACCCCTCGGCCGGGGAAGCAGATGCAGTTCAGGCCCCAGAGCAGCGCCTCTCCCACAGCTGCTGGGACTAGGAAGGGCAGCCGGGCTCTGCTGTCCCCCGAGGCCTGGCTTCATTCATCGTGAGAGGAGAGGGGTGGACAGGGCTCTTTCCACCATCCATCCTTCCTCTGCAGATCTACCCTTCCTCGCAGGGGCTCATGCCCTCGCAGTGGTAAAGCCCTGGGTCCCCACATCTCCCAGAGACCTTTTCCGCTCCGCTCACCCCTTCCTCTTTGTGATAGAAGGGAGAGCTCCAGGGTCACCGGCACCTGTCTCCCTGTCCAGGTGACACGGCTGTTCATGGCTCACAGAGGAAAAGCCACCGCCAGCCCCTGCTCACAACTTTCCCATTCCTGGGTTTCTGAAGTCTGGGAAACGCCTCTGCTGGGGGAATGGAGGGAGGAGGGCTGGGGAGAGCCCACCCTCCACACCAGCCCTATTCCTTCCCCATTTCCTACCCTTCCACCTCCATTCTCCTCGAGCGGTCCAGGTTTTCTTTTCTTTTCTTCCTTATTATTTTTTTTTTTTTGATTTTGTTTTTTTTTTCGTTTTGCGCTTTTTTTGTTTGTCTGTTTTTTTTTTTTGTTGTTGTTGTTTGTTTGTTTTTTTTTTTTTTTTGCTTTCCTCACCCCAGGAGCCCTGCCTCTCCAGCCTGGAGACGGATTTGATTTGGGATTGTTACAAAAATAATAATAACCCAAACGCAGAGAAGCCACGGAAAGGGCTGAGGGTAACCCTCCCCTCCCCCCCGCCCTCCTCCCTCCCCATTCCAAACCGAGTACAAAACCGCACCCAAAGCAGACATTCTGTACAGGGGGGTGGGTGGGCTGGGGAGCAAGCGGGAGGGGCGGCCCTGGGGTCGCTCTGTACAAGTCCGGGTTGGTGACGGCCCCAGCAGTCCCCACGGGGCCCCTGGGGGGCGCAGGAGGTGAGCAGGTGCCCCTAGATGAAATACTCCTTCTTGTCATCCCCTCCTGACTGCCCGCCTTCTGCGTTGATGATGGCGGTGTCCGCATCTGGGGCGTCGTCGGAGCCCTTGGCCTCGTGCGTCAGGTAGGTTCCTGTGTGGACAAAGAGGCTCCCGTCTCAGGAGCGGCTTCTCCGCCTCCGCAGTCCACCCTGCCCACTTCCACCTTCCCGCCCACCCACTTGCACAAGGCTTATGCACAAGGCTTCTCTCGCCTGGAGCTTGCTCCCCCCGCCTCACCTCCTTTGCATTTATTTGTTCCCAGCATCCCTCCCCTGACCACACCCAAATGAATACGGAATCCTGCCCTGATTAATTAGAATCTCCTCTAAGATACAGACAAGACAGAAAAAGAGAAAGAGGTGTGTGTCTGTGTGTTTGTGTGGGTGCACGCACATATATATGTGCAGGTACAGACTGGTGATGAGGAACTGCTATCTCAACTTATGAGTAGCTTTTTTTTTTTTTTGTTTTTTTTGCATACTGGAGATTGAACTCAGAGGTGCTTTACCACTGAGCTACATCCCCAACCTTTTTAGTTTGTATTTTGGGACAGGGTCTCACCAAGTTGCTTAGGCCCTCCTTACATTAGGAGGCTGGTGTCAAAATTGCAGTCTTCCTGCCTCAGCCACCCAAGCCAAAGGGATTGCAGGCATGGCCCACTGTGCCCTGGCTGTGCCCTGGCTGTGAGCAGCTCCGTGTGCAATGCAGTTGAGAGCTGGCTCATGGCACCAGCCCATGCAGCTAGGCTACTGGCTGGAACAATACCAAGGCAGGAGGTCTGAGTGGAAGGAATGGAAGAGGCGGCGTGGATATAGGAGGGAAAACAAACCCCCCGGACAACAGTACCCACAAAAGAGAGGAGAAACGAGATGGGGTGAGGCTGCGGAGTGAGGAGCTCAGAGAAGGAAGAAGAGGCTAACCAGAAAGGATGAGAGTACAGGAAAATGTGGGATGGAGTCATTTCAGGCGCTCTCAGTCTTACAGCAGAGACCCTGGAGGCAGGGCAGCCTGGAACAGCTGTCTGAGTGGGAAGGTTGGATTTTACTTGGATGATTACCAAGCCATTGGGCTTCTCTGTGGAGTTGGTGGTGCTCAGTGATCACGGGGTTGGCGCTCAGGGGCTTGACTCCCTTTTTTTTTTTTTTTTTTTCCCCTTCAAACTCTCCAAGGGGCAACTGAGTACCTGCAGGCCCTTGGTGTAGGCTACTTCTCCCTGCATGCCCTTGACCGATCTCCCAACCCACCCAAGTTCTCCTAATGCTTCTGACCTTTGTGCCGGATCAAGTAGTGTCCGAGGAAGATGAGCAGGATGAGCAGCAGGAAGACGATGAACGCCACGATCCCGCCGATGATGGCATGGTAGGTGCTGCTGGACGAGGGCACTGGACTGGGATCTGGAGAGAGGGAGGCACACGGTCAGATCTGGGGGAACCATTATCTCAGCATTCGAACTCAGCCCTGGGGAGTCTAACTCAGCAGAGAAAAGGCCCTTAACATCACATCGGGAGGCATTCAGCAAAGGGGAGCTGACATAGTTTGTTCTCAAGATGGCTTCGCCAAATCTGGAACATAGCAATCGTTTAAAAAAAAAAAAAAAGAAAAAAACCTGACATATTTGGGAATAAGTAAAATCTGCTCACATTCAATCTCCCAAGTGGGTTTCTTGGCACCAAAACATGACCTTGATCAAAGACCATTGCTTTAATGCCTGTTACCAACCTCTCTTTCTTTCTCACTTGTGGGTGATCACTTGTTCCTTCCCCTTAGGCCATGCCCTCTTACCCTCCAGTCTGAATGGGATTCGAAGCTAGTTCTTTAAGGGGCTTCTCAGCCTCGTTTCCTACTGCCCTGAGATCAGATAGGGAAAGAACAGTGAATGCAGCCCAAAATGAAGCACTTCAACCTTGTGCGGTGGCCCACACCTGGAACCCCACGATTTGGGAGACTAAAACCGAAAGATGGAAAGTTTGAGACCCACCTTGGAGACTTAGCAAGACCCTTTCTCAAAATAAAAACTAAAAAGTGCTGGGGATGGAGCTCAGGGGTCGGGCCCTTGACTTGTATGTGGAGGCCCCAGGTTCCATCCCCAGCACCACAAGCACAGAAATCAACAATAACAACAATGAAATATCTGCTTAGCATAAAGAAGAGTGTTCTTTCTTGGCAGGGAATCTTAATGCTCTGGTAAGCCTACGGCCTTTTGGCCTGTCTCAACAAGGAGGCCTGGGATTCCAACTGTACTGATCACCACCCAAGGGTCAAGGGACAAGGACTGACTTGTTTTCTCCCATGACAGTTGGTGTCTCTGCCACTGGATCCCCATAGCAACAGGGGATGGGTGTGGCAAAAACAGCCCCAGCCATAATCAGGGACTCAAATGTCCAAAGGCCAGTACACAGGCCCAGGACATGGTTCTGAGGTATCCAAAATTACATTAGCCACAGCTATAATTCTCCCACCCATGGAAGAGTGACTGTTTTACTGCTTTGCTTTTCAAAACTCAGCTTGAGTCTGGATGTCTCATTGACCACTTCTATATTTTTTAAAAAAACCTTTCCTATCTCTGTCTTCTCAGGCTTGACTAGACATGGTTTTTAGTTCCTTGCTTGTTTATGACTTATTTGAAAAGGAAACATTGAATCCAGGGCTGCTGATCTACATCCCCAGTCCTTAATTTTTATTTATTGATTTTTATTTTGAGACAGAGTCTCTCTAAGTTGCTCAGGGCCT